AAAACACTGCCCGCTCTTACACCATTCTTACAATTGTTATGCTTGAGTCCATTGCTGTTGACACTGTGCCAATTCATCTCTTTGGGGGTCTTTCTCATTTTAGCTGACCTTCCACTTTATCCTTCTCCAGGGACTGGTCCCTCCTGATAATATGTCCAAAGTATGAAAGATGAAATCTGGGCATTGCTTCTAAGAAGTATTCTGGCTATACTTCTTCCAACACAGACTTGTGTGTTTTTCTGGAAGTCCATGATACTTTCAGTATTTGTCTCCAACACTATAACACAAATGCATCAGTTCTTATACAGTCTTCATTATTCATTGTTCAACTTTCACATGCATATGAGGCTATTGAAAATAACATGGCTTGGTCAGACGCACCATATTCCTCAAACTGGTATCTTTGCTTTGTAATATTTTAAAGAAGTTTTGTGCAGCAGATTTGCATAAGGCAATACATCATTTGATTTCTTGACTGCTGCTTCCTTGAGTGTTGATTGTGGATCCAAACAAAATGAAGTCTTTGAAAACTTCAATATTTTTTTCCCATTTACCATAATGTTATCTAGTGGTCTCAGATTTTTGTTTTCTTTACATTGAGATGCAACTCATAGCAAAGGCTGTGATCTTTGATCTTCATTAGTAAATATTTTAAGTCTTTTTCTTTTTTAGCAAGCAAGGTCATATCACTTGCATGTCGAAGATTGTTAGTGAGTCTCCCTCCAATCATATAATCCAGCTTCTTGGATTATTTGCTCAGCATACAGATTAAATAAATATATTGAAAGAATACAACCCTGGCACACACCTTTCCTGAGATGAAGCCATTCAGTATCCCCTTGTTCTGTTTGAATGACTGTCTCTTGGTGTATGTACAGGTTCTTTATGAGCACAATTAAGTGTTCCGGAATACCCATTCTTCCCAATGTTATCCACAGTTTGTCATAATCCATACAGTTGAAAGCCTTTGCATAGTCAATAAAGCACAGATAAACATCTTTCTAGCATCCTCTGCTTTCAGCCAAGATCCATATGATGTCAGCAATGATATTGCTAGTTTCACATCCTCTTTTGAATCTCTGGCTGGTTTCCTGGCAATTCTCTGTCAATGTGCTGTTGCAGCCATTTTTGAATTATCATTAGCAAAATTTTACTTGCTGTAACATTAATGACATTGTTAAGTGATTTTTGCATTCTGTTTGGTCACCTGTCTTTGGATTAGGCACAAATATGAATCTCTTTCAATCGGTTGGCCAAATTTCTTGGCAAAGACGAATGAGTGTCTCCAGTGCTGTTAAAATATTTCAATTTACATTTTGTCAATTCCTGGAATCTTGTTTTTTGCTAATGCCTTCAATGTATCTTGGACTTCTTCTATCAGTGCCATTATTCTTGATCATATGCTACCTCTTGAAATGGTTAAACATTGACCATGTCTTTTTGGTACAATGACTCTATGTATACCTCCCATTTCCTTTTGATGCTTTCTGCATCAATCAATATTTTGCCCATGGAATCTCTCAATATTGCAAGTTGAGGCTTGAATTTTTTTCTTCAGTTCTTTCAGCTTGAGAAATGTTGAGCATGTTCTTCCCTTTTCATATTCCAACCCCAGTTCCTTGCACATTTCATTATAAAACTTTACTTTGTCTTCTAGAGTTCCCCCTTGAAATTTTCTATTGAGTTCTTTTATTTTTTTCATTTCTTTTATTCACTTTGGCATCTCTAATTTGGAGAGCAAATTTCACCATCTCTTCTGACATTCATTTTGGTCTTTTCTTTCTTTCCAGTCTTTTTAATGACCTTTTGCGGGCTTCCTGTATGATGTTCTTGATGTCAACCCACAACTCTTCTGGTATTTGGTCATTAATGCATCAAATCTTTTCTTGAGATGGTCTCTAAATTCAGTTGGAAAATGTTCAATGTCATATTTTGGCTCTCATGAACATGTTTTAATTTTCTTCAGCTTCAGTCTGAACTTGCATATACAGTCTACCCCTGGCCTTGTTTTAGTTGATGACATTGAGCTTTGCCACTGTTTCTTCCCCCAGATGTAGTCAGTTTGATTCCTGTGTATTCCATCTGGTGAGGTTCATGTGTATAATCACCTTTTATGTTATTTAAAGAAGGTATTTGCAATGAATAAGTTGTTGGTTTTACAAAATTCTATCTCACATTCTCCAGCATAATTTCTATTGCCAGAACAAACTTTTCCAACTACTGATATTTCCTCTTTGTTTCCAACTTTTTCATTTGAATCACCAGTAATCATCAATACATCTTGATTGCACATTTGATCAATTTCAGAGGGAAGGCATTGGTAGAATTATTTAATTTCATCTTTACTGGCTTTAATGGTTGGTGCTTCAATTTGAATAATAGTGGTATTAACTAGTCTTTCTTGTGAGCTATGGATATTATCCTATCACAGTGTTGTACTTCAAGATAGATCTTGAAATGTTCTTTTTGATGATGAATGCTATGCCATTCCTTTTTAATTTGTCATTCCCGGCATAATAAACCATATGATCATCAGATTCAAAATGGCTAAGATCAGTCCATTTCAACTCATCAGTGTCTAGGATATCTATCTTTATGTGTTCCATTTAATTTTTGAAAACTTGCAATTTTCCTCGATTGGTAAATTGTACTTCATAATTCCATGTTCTGATTATTAATGGGCATTTGCAACTGTTTCTTCTAATTTGAGTTGTGCCCACTAGCAAATTAAGGTCCAGAAAGCTTTGCTCTACTCATGTCTTTATGGTCAGTTTTACTTTGAGTAGCCAGTTCTTCCTCAGTCGTATTTTGAGTGCATGCCAACCTGAGGGGCTCATCTTCCACATTATACTTGACAATGTTGTTGTTGTTAAGTGCCGTCGAGTCGGTTCCGACCCATAGCGACCCTGTACAGGGTTTCCGAGGGTGTAAATCTTTACGGGAGTAGAAAGCCTCATCTTTCTCCCATGGAGCAGCTGGTAGTTTCGAACCGCTGACCTTAAGGTTCACAGCCTGATTTGTAACCACTACGCTACCAGAGCTCCTTATATACCTGACAATAGTCTTATGCTATTTATAATATCATCTTCCAGCACTATACCTGATAATGTTTCACTGCTATTCATAAGATTTTCAGTGGTGTTGTTGGATCAGCACTGAACTGGGAACCACAAGGTCAGCTGTTCAAACCCACCAGCTCCTCCTGGAAGCCCTATGGCAAGATCATTATGAGTCGGAACCTACTGGATAACACTTAACAACAACAACAAACATTCAGAAGTAGTCAGCCTCTCCTTCTTTCTAATCTGTCTTAGTTTAGAAGCTTCGCTGATACCTGTCCACCATGGGTGACCCTGCTAGTATTGAAAATACCAATGACATAGCTTCCAGCACCACAGCAACATGCTGTCAAATGAATAGTGGAGTGCTAAGTACAAGTTTTCTAAAAATTAGATGTCAGTGAAAATTCGTAAGTGCCACCTGAATTTCAACCAAGAGCTGTGGAAAGGGGGAAGGGAGGAGAAACATCAACCAGTAAAATCATAAATGCCAAACATGAAAAGGGTTATGAAAGAGACGTACATTGTGCTATGCACTCTCATAACAGGGGCAATGGTCCAGAAGTTCTGAGTAGATTAATTCAAGGATGGTGTTAATTAAGGGATGGTGATGGTGTGCGGTGGAGTAGGTTCTGACTCATAGCGATGGAGCAGAAAGCCTCATCTTTCTCCCACAGAATGGCTGGTAGTTTCAAACTCCTGATCTTGAGGTTAACAGCCCAACTCATTACCATTAAGCTACCAGAGCTCCTTTAATTAAGAGGAAGGTACCAGAAATGAATAGGGGAAAGGCTCCAGGCAGAGGGAACAGCCTGTGCAAAAGTTCCAGGAGGAAAAGTGTTTAAGGAACTTGTTTAAGGAGCAAAGCCAGTCGAGACTATTGATTGATATGCTCCTATGTTAAGTGCCATGGAGTTGATTCCGACGAGCGCCTGGTGGGTTTGGAGCACTGACTCTGTGGTTTGCAGTTCAGTGCTTATCCTAAAGGGCCACACTGAGTGTGAGGAACACTTGTTTTGGATTCAGGACCTTGTCCTGGTGTGATGCTGTGGGTTAATGAGCTGGACTGCAAGGTCGGCGATTCAAGCTCAGCAGTCACTCCTTGGAAAACCTATACAGGGTAGATATGGAGTCCTGGTGTGGCGCTGTGAGTTAATGCGCCAGACTGAAAAGCCGTTTGAACTACAAGGTTGGCGGTTCAAGCTCACCAGCTGCTCCTCGGAAACCCTATACAGGGTCGTTATGGGTCGGAACTGACTCGACGGCACTTAACAATAATACTTACCAGCACTGTTTAGTAGCGTAGTGGTGCTATCCATCGGTGAAATAACTTATCCTAAAAATTATTGGGAACTCAATTTCATGCGGGACTTTCTTCTAACTTTCTTCTTCTGTTTATTGAAAATAATGTTGGTAGTCGCGGGCTTTCAATGAGGTAATGCGCCCTCAGCATTTGTGTGAGGCAGGGCGCTAGAAACAGAGGCTTACGAGTGGAAAGCGTGTTACTGGGGAAATCTCAGCGCGGCTCTTCCCAGAGCTCGTTCCGGGATGTTTGTTTTGAGTGTTCCTCTAGGGTGTATTTGGGTTGAAGAGGTTTTGTTTGCTGAGTGGATGGTGACGGTAACTAGCCTGGGTCAGCGGAGGTTGAGACTGAGTTAATTTTTTTCCAAAGAATTGGAAAGGAGAGAAATCAATCAGAGGACTAACCGGCTGGGACTACAGGATCCCAATCTTTGTCGGAGCATCACCTAGGGCCCTGGTCTCGTCTTCGTGCCCCGCCCCTAGCCCCACCTTCACCGCTTGCCACTCCTCGAATCCCGCCCCACCCTAGCTCAGCTCCGCCCCGTCCCGCTCTGCGGCTGCGCGATTCACGCAGTCTTCCTGGGCCTTGAGCAGGGTGTCTGCTAGCAGCTTTTTTTGCGCTTTTTCTCCAGCTCGGTCATGTGGAGGCGTCATCAGGGCCGCTTTAGGCCCGTGGGTTGCGGGATAGAGGAACTAAGGCGCAACCGGCGGGAGCGGGAGGCAGGTGCGGGTGGACGAGGGAGCACTGTGGTATGGGGGTACGGAGGCCCCTGGTTGGACCCGTTAGTACTGGGGCTGGGCTTTCCTCCCACACTTAGCCAGCTTCTCTACCCCCAGCACTACGGAAGGCTCGGAGGGAGCAGCAGCTGGTCAGCAGGAGGCTGCTGAGAGACAACGCCCTGGAGGAAGCCAGCGGGGTGGTCGAGATCCTTGGGGAAGCCGAGGTGAGGGGGTAGGGGCGGGGCAGGGTGCGCAGTGCGGTACCTGTCAGCTGGCGCCAAACAATGTCACTAGCTTCCCTTCCCTCAGGTACTCAAGAACATCCCTTCCCTCAGGTACTCAAGAACCGCCCCCAAACTCGAAGGAGGTCTACAGAACTACATGGTCCACCCAGTGAGCTAAACTGGGAACTGGGGAATCTTCTTCAACACTCCTATTTCCTTGTCCCATATAAATCAAGTCACTCCCATTTTGTCATACCATATAAATCAAGTCCTAAAAGTTTTACCTCCCGATAATGAGTTCTTATGTTCATCTCCATTGAAACTTCCACTATCTTACCTTCTGTGAATACTACAGAAACCTATCGGGTCACCCCGCATGTACACTTGCCACCCTCCAGTTAATTCACACATCAGTCTGATAGGTCTTTTTAAACACACGCATGAAGACCAAAATCGTTCCTGTGACCTGCAAAGCCCAGCATGGTCTAGCCTCTTCCTACCTCCAATCTTATCTGCTTACTCATCTTAGACACACTGACCTCTTTTAGTTTCTGGAACAGCATACAGACTTTCCTGTCTTCTGGCCTTTACAGTTGCTGTATCTAAAGTGGGTTCTCTTTGAAAATGTCAGTCTGTTTGTTTCTTACAGAATATTAATCACTTTATCTAAATGCTTGCTTTCTTCTTACTATCCCTCCAACTAGATGTTAAATCCATGACAAACAACACCCTATTTTGCCATCATTGAAAACCCAGTACCTGAGTTTTCTAGCATATAATATGTAGCATAGACAATATCTAGCCTATCCAAAGGGCTTCAAAAAGTTTGGAGTGAAAAGATAATGCAGTTTTCCACGAACTGTTGAAGCCCCCTTGTAGTTGTTGATTGTTGGTTATGTGCCGTGGAGTCGGTTCCGACTCATAGTGACACTGTGTACAGGGCTTCCGAGACTGTAACCCTTTACGGGAGCAGAAAGCCTTATTTTTCACCCGCGGAACAGCTGGTGGTTTCAAACTGCTGACCTTGAGGTTCGCAGCTCGATTTGTAACCACTACACTATATTTATTAAATGAATAAAATAATTGGTTTTGGCAAACATTAGGGATCCCTGTGTCTATGTTTATATATATAGTTTACTAGACTTTTGTCTGGACTCCTGGTGTGGTGCAGTAGGATAAGCACTGGACTGCGAACTATAAGTTCAGCAGTTCAAACCCACCAGTGGCTCCTCAAATCCTATACAGGGTTGCTATGAGTCAAAACTGACTCTACGGCACTTATTCCACTTACTGCTTGCGTACTTTATGTCAAGACACTATGCTGGGTACTGAAACACAGATGAAAAAAAAAGGAGTTCCTCTGAAGATCTCTAGATGTGAAACCTATTGGAAGGAAGCTTTGACACAATAGAAACGGCACGATAGAAGTCTGTGAAGAGAAACCAGACGAGGTAAACTTCTAGAAGCAATGACAGGAGTTAAAATCTGAAAGGACTAAGGGTCTGGGGAAGTCATCCCCAGCAGAAGAAATTGCTATTGTTAAGTGCCGTCAAGTCCTATGTAGGGTTTCTGAGGAGTGGCTAGTGAGTTTGACCTGCCAACCTTGTGGATCAAGTTGACTTTGCGGTCCAGTGCTTATCCTACAGCACCACACAAGGAATAGCATGATCAAAAGCTTCGAAGCATTAATATAAGTCATATTATGATAGGTTGCAATGAGAAGAACAGGCTGAGAGATTTAAAGGTGGGAGGGGAAATACTGTTTATTCTTCTTTTTTCAGGTGAAGAAGTAGGTTCTGGTACAGTAAATAACAGGGGTGGGATAAAGAACCTGGTTTTGAACCCTTTCTGTATACCTCACTGTAAGATTGGTGCTTATTAGCTATATTAGTGGGAAAAGGAAGTTGTGGAGATAGTGTGGTATTGGAGGATTCAAAGTGAAGTGGACAGAATGGCACTCAGGATGTTTCCTCCCTCACTGTGGGCTCTAGATCCTGCAGTTCCTGCGGCTTGCCCATCGAGGGACAGAGGAAAAGGAGAGAGAGAAGGCTCTTGTTAGCCTTCATCGAGGCTTGCAGCACCCTGAAACACAGCAAACTTTTATCCGGTCAGTGTGGGTAGTGTAGTAGGTGGCTGGGGCTCTGGGAAATGGACAGGAGAGAGAGAGAGAGAGAGAGAGAGACAGAGAGAGAGAGAGAGTGTGTGTGTATGGTGGTCGTGGTGGTGGGGTTATGCCATAGACTGAGCAAGTCTCTGATGCTCACTCATAGGCTAGAGGGCAGCATGCGGACCCTAGTTGGGCTCCTTACCAGCAACCAGGCCCTGCTGCAGCTTGCGGCAGCTCGATGCCTGCATGAGCTCTCTCATTCTGAACATCCTGCGGTGGCTGAGGCCTGCCTGCCAGCTACATCGTACCTCCTCACCTACCTCTCCGGTCATAGCTCAGACTTCATAGTAAGCCCCATCCTTTCCTACCTTCTTCTTGGCTTGGGATCTAGTTTAAGCTGGTGGGTTGAAGGACGAAGAAAACCTGTTAACCCTGATTCCCACAGCCATGTATATACTAATCATCTCGTACTTTCTTGTGGCCAGACTTAACAGGTTTGCTCCACTCCCCTTTTCCTACCCCAGCCCGGTGTGAGACAGGCCAGTTGCAGTACTTTTGTTATCCTGCTCTTAGGAGCTGTGTCTCTATACACTGGGTAACCTGATTGTGGGGAGTGAGGCTGTAAGAAAGCAGCTCCTGCCACAGGGCATTGTCCCAGCCTTGGCTGCCTGCATCCAGGTATGTGTCCACCTCCTTTCTACCTTTCTGGGTAAGTCTCCTCACTCCTTTCCACAAACCTTACCTGTTTTGATGAGGTAGTTCTAGCCTCTGCCATATGTGAAGGGGCTGAAAGTCTCAGGAGACCTAATGGCCTAGCTTCTAGTCAGAGCTCTACCCTGTCTGCTTCTAGTCCCCCCATGTGTCTGTGCTGGAAGCACTTGGATATGCCTTATCCCAGCTTCTGCAAGCTAAAGAAGCTCCAGAGAAGATCATTCCGTAAGTAAACGTGTGTCCCTAGATGTGTAGCAGGGGGTGATGGACTCAGTAGTGTAACACTTGGATGCTTAAGTCATTTCCACAGCTGTTGTGTACCTTGACTCTATGTTTGGCTGGGAAGAGCTTTGGGTATGGACACTTTCCCACCTGCCAATAGAAAGAGAAACTGGCATCTTGCTTTCTGTGTTTCCTGCTCATGACCTTGCTTCTGCTGGCAGCTCCATTCTGGATACGCCACTTCCCCAGCACATGCTGCGACTGTTGCAGCCTGGTCCGAAGCTGAGCCCTGGGGTAGCTGTGGAGTTCTCCTGGTGCCTTCACTATATCATCTGCAGGTAACTCAGGCCAGTCGGCAAAGTGCCTCAGACCTGCCCTGGGACTCCCTTTCCATGGTACTTGAGGTTTTGGTTTCTCAAACTGTGGTGGTGAGTTTTTTTCTATGTTGCTCTCTCCTTGAAGTCTAGGAGAGGCACAGGCTGTTTCTCAGCATAACAGTGGGATTGATTGGTTGCCTCTTGTTTACCTAGCCAGGTCAACAATGCCTTGCTCATTACCCTTGGAGCTCTGTCCACTCTGGGGCTACTGCTGTTGGATCTGGCTGGGGTTGTCCAGAGAACTGAGGACACAGGACTGGAGCTGGTAGGTGATGATCAGGGTCTAGGGCACCTTTCTTCACACTGTGCATCTACTCTGGTATGCAGGTAGGCTCTTCTTTCTTTCTTTTCTTTTTTAATTTAAGGTTTTTATTGTGGATTGAGTGAAAGTTTACAGGGCCCATCATCAGTTTCACATTCAACAATTCATATAACTTGTTTCATTACATTGATTATAATCCCCCCCATATACCATCAGTTAAAAGTATTTCTCTCTATCCACTTTAGCTTTTTGAAAAACATACAAACAAAAAACCCACTCAGGTATATATAATAATTTACATCTACAAAGGGCACGTTCTGCAAGTCTGCTCCTGGCCACTAGTTCTTAGTCTTTCTCTTCTTAGTTGATGAATCTAGAGTCCTCAGCTGCTTCCCCTCTCCATGCCCCCATCTCTGGCGCTGCTGCTTCTCTGGATAAGGTTCCGCATTCTATTTGTGTGTTCCTCTCTTGATGGTCCTAGGGTCCTCCATTTCTGGACTGTAAGATCAGCCACTCCCCTTTTTTTGTTACAAAACTTCTACCTTTACAAGTGTGACAGTC